AATATTCTCTTAAAGAGTAATTTATATATTTCGTCTCATTTATTTATTTTAGGTTGCGGGATTGCCATGTTGATAATATCTGTCTTGATAGCCATATACTATAACATTATAATGTGCTGGACACTGTACTACCTGTTCGCTTCGTTGAAGGGCTCACTGCCATGGGCTAACTGTAGGAATGAGTGGAACACGCTGGAATGTAAGGACAAAGACATGCTTCTTTTAGGTAAGACACACACACACCTGCACACACACACGTAAAGCCCCCCTCTGCCCACAATGCGCAATGCGTCATGACTCCCCCTCAGCTGAGGTGTCCTGCAGTATAATGAATCCTGACCTGCGATCTCTGCAGCGTTTCACCATTAAAGACAAACGAAAAGCAGCTCGTTTATCTGTTTGACGTGTTTGTAACGAAGAAGGCCGACAGACAGCGCGCGATGGGGGGGCCTCCCTGAGACAGATTGGAACAAAAAATAAATTTAAATCAAGCTTCATATGTGTTTTATATGTATTCCTCGTTTATAATACGTGTTTAGTCCGAAACATCTGCAATAGAAATAGTCGTGAAAATGCTCTATAATGTTTTTTTATATAATGAAAACTGCATAAAAATGTGTTTTTCTATATATAAATAATAAAGCCACGGAAATGGATCAGTTTTACGTTTTTGTTCGCCGAATAAAAATGTGATTTGGTTTCATTTTGGGTAATATTTGCCATCCGCCTTTCTGTAAATTCAGCAGAAAATCTGCTTGCTTGACAAATTTACTGTACAGCTCTGAGCTGCTGCAGTGCTGCAGTGAGCCCCACACTGACCCCTGCTGGCGGCAACCAGAACTGCGGGGCCATCTAACAATGGTCTTTCTGCTCATCTGGCAAGAAAATAAAAACTGTAACAATTATTATAGGAATAAAAAGCGAAACYAATATATAAATTGTAATTTAGAAAGAAGATACCTCACACTTAGCRCACATAGCTCTGGAGTGGCCTTGCATTCTGGTTCTTGTAAAAAAAAAGATAATGTGCCTTTTATTTATTACTCTCCTAAAATCTTAATCACAACTTTGATAAAAATAAGTATTTAATTTGGTTTCAAGGTGATATTTTGATTTTCTGCAACAAGAGTCAGGTTTTGTCCACCTCATTTTATGAGACTGTAAGTAAGTGTGTGCTTTAATAATAATAATTATTATTATTA